ACCACTTATTAACAACAGCAAGAACAACAACCATAGTTATAGTGAACATTAACTGTTCCATTTCGCCCAACTTTCGGGCGGTATTACTTTGAAAGAGACCATGGATAAAGCGGGTACCGAAAAAGCGGGGCCGTACGCAACATCGAAGCCGAGCTTCTCATAGGACTACTAGTACAGGTAATGTTGGGGGGGGTTTGCCTAGCATCCTTGACAGCGCCTCATCCCAGGTTTGACTGATAGAGCAGCCAAACGTTGAAACGAATGGAAATGGGTTATCCTTTTCCAGCTTCGATTGGTCTCATCGCTTTACGCGCTATGTATTCACGCAGTGGTGGCAACATGTGTTACTATGATCAGAAAAATCTTTGGGTACTTTACTTGCACTCGATATACGATGTAGGACTTCCCATTTATGTTTTTCACAACTGCGAATATTCTCAGCTCAAGTCACACAGTCCTTATCGTCGATACCGCTGCGCCATTTCGTGATGACCGACCCTCCCCTTACGATCTCCTACAGGAGCCAAATAATGTGTTTCAAATAAAGTGCTCTGCTGTAAATCACTGCTATGCAATAAGTAATTTTTGATAGCTTGTAATAATCATTCTCAATTCATGGTTTCAGTTCCACATAAGGCAGGAAGCAAACTGGTATTGAGCAACGGAGCAACTGGGGAAAAGAGTGAAGATGCTACTCCAGGTACTATGCAGGACAAACAGTGTGCAGTTCGAACAACTTTGTTTTTTTTTCAGAGTCCGCAACGAAAGCCTCTACGTCAGTCCCGGAAGAAGCTGCTGTATCATCATCTCCAAAACCGGGAGAAGCTACATCAGAGGCAAGTGGAGAGGTACCTACAGGAGAAGAGAAAGAATCCGAGGCAACTACGACTTCAGCTGGAGAATCTAGCGGAGAGGAGCCTTCGGAGAGTCAAAATGTGCCAAACGTTCAAGCAAACGAAGACGAAGAAGCAGCAATCGTGACAACATCACCAGCACCTCCACAAACAACTGAAGCCACATCAACTACAACAGAAGAAAGCAGGCTAACGTCCAGTGAAGCTGAGGGAAGCGAGAGAGAATCTACCACATTACTTAGCACCCTGGAATCACATGCAACTGACGCCAGTGAAGAAACGACACGTGAAGATGAACAGCTAAAGCAAACAACGGCAGGACCCATTGAAGCTAGCGGAGAGGAACCAGCAGTGAGTAACAAAGTACCTATCGTTGCAGCCAACGTCGACCAGGTAGCGACCACAGCTGCAGAAGGAG